TTATTACTATATTTAAAATAAATTAATCTGCTTAAAAACAAATAATAAAAACTATCACTATTATCCAACTACCAACCAATTCCGGACGCCACTATAGACCCGATCCCAGTCACGTGGAGGTCCCGTATCCATAGACTACATTGCGTTACATATCCACTAATAAACAAGGCATGTGGTTGCATTCCTGGGTACTTTCAAATTTGGGAGGTAAACAATGCCGATCTTTTGAAGGAGGTAAGCCAAATCGCCCACTTTTTGTCGAAAAATTTGGAGAAGACTGACAGAACCAAGGGAGACTTAAAGGAAGGACCACTAGCACCCAAAGAAAGTATTTTATCCTTGAAAGAACCAATGACTAGTAACTCTTTTTCTAGGAAAGGGAGGAGCTACTATACTTAAACGGTAAGTGATAAACTCTAAACTTGTTGGCAAGTAGCATATGAGAACTACTTCTAAATAACAAGTGCCGTGCCAGTGGTGAGTGATAAACTCTGAAGAAGTTAGCAGGTAGCGTATGAGAACTATCTCTAAATAACAACTGCTAATTTATAGATTCCAGTTTTATGCTCTTTATTACTTACTAGTTAATGTTTTTTACAGAAATTGTTTGGGAAATTTTGGTTTTAGTGATCGTCAGAAAGAGTTGACATTTTTTGGTATCTTCATAATTAATTTTAAAAATATTTTAATTTATTTAAAATATTTCAATTTCTATAAAAGTAAAAAAGTAAAAATTTTACTTTTATTTATTTCTATTAAACCTCTTATATATCAATTACTTTAGTACTAACTAATATTTGTTTGATAAACCTGATTACATAAAAATCTAGAATGTTTCTATATAACAATAGAAGAATACACGATATGTATAATAGTGATAGTTTTTATTATTTGTTTTTAAGCAGATTAATTTATTTTAAATATAGTAATAAAAGATTAAAAGAATAATAGTTGATAGGAGCTTTTACTTTTAAGGTAATCACTTTATTTCGTATTGTTTTAAAAGTTTTCAAATTTGTTCAGGAGTTGTTAAATATATTAAAAGATATAATGACAATTAAATATCAATAGAGCATAATTTATCTAATATATTTAATATATTAAATAATCTAATAAATCTTAATATTTAAATAAAATATTAATTACTTTTAGATATAGTAAAATACTTAAACACATTGAATAATAAAGCTGTTAATATATTCAATTACTTTAGAATTTTACTGAAAATATATAAAATAACTTGATTTGGCCTCTCTAATCTTTGTAATTTTTTTTTTCAATTCATATTTCAATTTATTAACTTTAAAATTCTTTTACTTTCTCTCGCAAATTCTAAATCTAACTTCATTTTTTTTAATTAAAATTTTTGTATTTTCTATTATTTCATTTTCACTTATTATTTATTTCTCAAATTTTCACACTTTTTCAAATATATTTCATTTTTTTTAATTTCACTTTATTTATTTTACATATTTTTTATTATTTTTTTATTTCTTTTACTTTTCTATAATTTATTTTTTATTTTCATATTATTATCTTATTATATTCAAAATGGCTTTACTTAAAAAGACCAAAGAATTCAAATCAAGTAGAATATCTAACTGAAATTTCTTTAATTTACTTGTTGTTAGCACTTATATACTGCAAGCTTTAACTATTCAATTAGATTATCATTCTGACAAATATGTTTATAGTACTTTGCATAATGTTTGAGTATACTCAGAAGGTTAAATTTTTTTAAAATAGTTTTAGTTTATTTTGTTAATTTTTTTTTTTTTTTTTTAATTCTTTGACAGTCTTGGCCAGTTCTCTTTTAGTTGAGACTATATTTTAGATAAGAGTTAAACTCTCTCTCAAACAATACAAATCATTCATAACTATAATATAGAGTCTCATGATTGCAAGCCTGACATCACCCAGCTGCGATAAATATGCCCACATGTGACTTGTTATACTAACCTGTATACAAGTTAGATAAACTTTGTTAGCTCATCAAAGCTTTTTCCTTTATATTTTCTTTTTTTACTGAGAGCAAAAGAAAGTAATGATTTTATATTTAATACAAAACCACCGATAGTACCAAGAAAACAAAACAAAAAACTAACTAAAAACAAACAAATAGAATGAAGGAGAATTTTTAAAGAAAAAAAAGGGGTACAATGAAATATAAAAAAAGAAAAACAAAGAAAAAAGCCTGAGAGCCAACAAAGAGGAAAACTATCTCTATCAAGAAGCTGTACAAATAAAATGAAAGAAAAAAAAAGTACACTATTATAACTCATGCCAGATTTAAGAAAAAATTTTATAACAACTGCAATGTTTGTATATCTCGACTATAAAATCTAACAAATTTTTATCTGACTACTAGCCACCTCTGGATGCCTCTTTTGCCAGAGATCTGATCTTAGTTATGTGGAAGATCCATATTCATAGAGTATGTTGCGTATTGTATCTACTGATAAACAAGACACGTGGTTGCATTCCTGAATATGTCTGAATTTGGGAGGTAAACAATGCCGATCTTTTGGAGGGGGTAAGCCAAATCATCTACTTTTTGTCGAAAATTTTTGGAGAAGACCGGCTAAGCGAAAAACACCTAGAGAGAGACCACTTGTACTCAAGAAAAGTAGTTATATCCATGTAAAGACTCAACAACTCCTAAACCTTCTTCTAGAAAAGGGGTGGGGCATCTATATTCTCTTTTCGGTGAGTGATAAACTCTGGGCTTGTTGGCAAGTAGCATATAAGAACTACTTCTAAATGACAAGTGCTATATGTGCAGTGAGTAATAAACTCTGAAGAAGTTAGCAGGTAGCGTATGAAAACTACTTCTAAATAACAACTGCTGATTTATAGTGACTAGTATGCCCTCTGTGTTTTACTAAGTGCTATTGTGTTTTAACAAAAAATATGTTTGGATTTTTTGGTACAGATGATTGTTGGAAAGAGTTAATTTTTTTTTTTTGTAAACAGGTTGCTATTATATTATTGAAATATTATTAAAATATTATATTATTAGATTGCTTTTAGATAATTACAAGATAATATTAGATTATACTTATATTATAATTAGGACGTTGATATTTATCACAACCTGTAATATCGCATATCATGTGATATACCGTATAAATTAATCCATAATAAAAATGAATTTAAGCCAAAGCTCTTTCTCTATATATAATCTGTAACTAACTATAAAAAAAAGAGCATTTGTGAATTAGTCAATATTAGTACGTATATACAGTATTGTATATGGGACAATTTTGGACAATTTTGGACATTTTTTCAAATTAAAATTACTCAAAATTTTATTAAGATAATCTATTTTAATTTTTTTACTAATAAGTTCAGCACCTAAAAAAATATATAATTATGTATTTTTTTAAATTACTTTATTGATTAGTTAAACATAGGACATAGGCTTGGACAATTTTGGACAATCTTGGATGTTGGACATTTTACATAGTGTGGACACGTCCTATATACAACACTGCATATATATACATATATATATATATACGAACGTATGTGATATCAAAAATTTAGTATAACATTCATATGTATATATGTACATACAACATATATACAACGTATATACAGTGCAAGAAATTTAAGAACTACAATATTCTATATAAAAATAATACATAAACTAATACGTAGCACATCAAAAATAAATTTCCTAAATTATCAACCACAATAAGTGAAAGGCATAAAACAATAAGCAAAAAACAATATATATACATAGCATGCTATTAAGAATGACAAATTTGGTTTTTCTTCAATGAGTTGGTTAACCTTTATTCTATATAAAGCGATTGAGGTTTTTAAATTTTCTCGACCATACATATGTACGATATTAGATATATAAAATAACTGAATTAGGAAATAAATCTTAAACCTGCTTAACCATAATACCAGATATCTATTTCCAGTATATATATGTATAATAATAATGGCATGATTAAAAAGTTACAATACGCATAAGTAAACTATGAAATATAAGAAAAAATTTTAGTTACACTTCTTAAATAATTAGAATAGACTATTAATATAAAATATTACCTATAACTGAGATCATTATATTGCTTCTTTCACTTTACCAATACAACTATACTATATAAGCGAATATGGATTTAGAGATTTTTAAATCTTTCACGTTTTTAAATAATATAAAATTAGCCAACTCCAGGAATTTTTTGCTAGAACATTGATTTTCATATAGCGCATATATATATACTTGAATATCAAGTAAAAATAAATGCTTTTAGTCTAATTCTCTTATCAGTTTACATTGATATTTTAACTACAATGCATTTAAGCAAAAGCTAATATAAATTTAATTGAGTAAATATATAGCAACTATTCACACTCTAATATGCACATATGAACTTGTACGTATTACATAACAAGAAGTTTTAATATAGTAATATCATATACACATTATTTAATACTTAATTTTCTAAAAATTTGCAGGTAGTAGTATAATGTCCTGGTTTATAGCAATTACCACAATGCTGAATCTCTGGTTTTGATTTAATATTGTTATTATTTGCTTCTATATTGGCCCATTTAGTGAATTTTGAAGTCCCTACATCTAAATCTTGAAGAACTTCTTGTATAGAACTTGATCCCTTTGGACATCCTTTGTGTTTTACTTTTTATGGATTTTTTATTTGAGAAATATCAACTTGCATTCGCTGATTTTCTATTTGGGAAATATTAACTTGCATTCGCTAATTTTCTATTTAAGAAGTATTAACTTGCATTCGCTGATTTTCTATTTGAGAAATATCAACTTGCATTTGCTGATTAATATTTATACCAGTGTGGTTTTTAATAAATCCTGATATCAATCCTACAAATTCATCAACTAAACTATTTTCAATTGCAAATTTTAGCTCACTTTTTGCAATACTGAAACCACATGCATATTTTTTGCTTTTCCATAATACTCGTATAGATACTAGGTTGATATACATCTGGCCTACGAATAGAAATCACCTGGTTCATTTCCGTAACTATATCATGTTCTACAGTAGTGCCTATGATTGATAAGGAATCTAAAACTTGCTTTGAATCTGCATATCAACGTTTGGGTATAAGTTTAACATCAAACTTGGCATTGCAGAACATTTTAAAAACACTAAAAAAGTGTCTACAAAAGAACCCATTTGAAATAATATAAAGACACGTGCAGAGATAAGTATTATCAGCCAATAGAATGATATAGTGAGGGTATTGATTGATATGTTGATCAAATAAAGACACTCTCCAGAACTCAAGAATATTTTCTTGATCCACCATATTTATAATAGTTTCAAGAGAGGCCTGTAACGTATCGTATTCGTCTTCTAGGTACCCATCTAAATGCTCGGGAGTTTCAAGAGGCTAAATAAATATTAGTATATACTCATATTCAATTAAAAATAAAATCACAATTAGTGCAAATTATACCAAAATTAAACTTGATCTTTTAACTAAACATGCTCTATATAAAACACTTTGAGCTATTTGAATACTTTGAATAGACGTAGCTTCTATTGTTAAATACTTTTCAATCTCGTCATGAATAGTCTTAAAAAAGACACTCTGAATATTTGAAAGTCCCCAGTATAATAACATATTTTTGTATTCAGAAAATCTCTGATGCTTTGCCTCACAATCAAGTTTTGCTTAAATAGCTTTGCCCAGATTAACAAGTATTGTTTTTGCGCAAACCTCATTCTTGATAATTTCATTTATACTTTCTACTCATTAGGTACTTTGCATTCTAGCACAAAAAGTTGTGAATATATAAATTTTAGCCCACGATTTGCATGATTTTCAAAGCTGTTGTAAGTAATTTTGACTTGCTGGATATTGAACTAATAATGATTGTCAGTTGTGCTCCAGTTTTATTTCGCTATGACTATTACAGCATCTAAACTAGCTTTGCAAAAAACTGGTATATGAGTTATCTAATTTTCATGATATTTTTTTTACAATATATGGAAAATACAATGGTTATGTTTGGAGGCAGGAAAAACTTGGCTAATAGCAGAGGCCATAGCTGGATTAGCATCTGTAAAAATTGCTTTTGAAGGTAGATTATCTGTTACTTTTAAGATACAATTTAAAATCTATGCATAAGTGTTAACAGTTTTGTCTTGCATGAAAGACTGTGCTATAAGCCTTGTTTGGTTATGATTATTGACGATTACGAAAAGATTTAGAAGCATGTTATATATATTTGTTTTAGCTGTATTATCATTACATGTAACTACTACATCATGATAACACTTCCATAATTCTATTTGTACAGGTGTTATTTAAAAAGCCACGAAAGATTGTTATCAATCCCTTCAAGCTCAATATAAATAGCACATTCAGTCTCTTGTTCCTGTTGCTTTATAAGCCAATTTACCATGTCTGCAGTATTATTTTCTCATTGATTACCTATTTGCTTCATGTACCGACATATAGCATTATACAAATCATGGTCATATAATGGTTGATCAGGAAATTTCTTTAAAATATACCGATATTAAGCCTTTGCTCCAAGGTTACATTTCTGTGTCAGAAACTTTATTGTGTCAAGAACATTTTGCAAAAGTAAACGTAAGCTTGGGGCAAATTCTTTTCTATGTAGTGCAAGAGAATAATTATGTCTTTTAACAAATTTATTAACAACTATAGCATTAATATCTCACATTAAGTTGCCATTGACATCCAACTTTTTTTAACAATTTTTCTTTATAACATGTGATATCAATATTTTTTTTAGATTGATGTTTTTTTGAATGTTCACAAATAAAATATCGACAGATTATTTTACCATTTTCACTCTCCACTCGATATTTTATTGACTTAAATCCAATTTTCAATTCATATTTTTTTAATGAATTCTTCAAAGATTCCCAGTTTGGAAATTTAGCACCACTTTGAATTACAAGTTCATCTGTTTTGTCATTATTATGATTAGATTCGCTATCGCTTTGTTGATTATTATTTGAACACATAAGTGTCTCTGATTGAATACTAGAATTCGAACATATAGATGTCTCTAATTGAACACTAGAATTAAACCAGTAGTCAGGAAAAGTTGTTGATATATCAGATGTCAAAATGAATTCTATAGATAAAGTAAATAAGTATTCATAAGATTAAAAATATGAATACAATAAAGGGTAAAAAGATTGTTTTAAACACAGAATTTTACTATTTTGTTCAAGCTGTAAAAAGTCTAAAGTAACATTTTGAGTTGTATGTTTATCTGTTTTATAATAATTTTGTTGCTTATTATTCAAATATATAGATTGAACACTAGGGCTAGACCGATAGTAAGCAATAATAGTCAATATATTAGGCACCACTATGGATTATATAGTAAGGTAAATATCAAGTACTGTATTACAAAGTATCAATAAAGAGATTACTTCAAGTCATAAATTTACCATTTTCATTTGTTTCGTAAGCATTTTGCTACTCATTATTTGAATACATAAATTGAACGCTAGGATTAAACTAGTGATCAGTAATAATAGTTGATATATTAGGCGTCATTATAGATCCTATAAGTAAATTAAATATCAAGTATTTGTAAAGTATTAATAAAGAGACTACTTCAAAAACACAATTTTACCATTTAGCTCAGAATGTGAAAAATCCAAGGTAGTATTATTTGCTATGACTTAACGAAACTCTAAGTTTAAATAAAAGCTATTAATCACATGAGTCTTATCTCTATATTCAAGACCAATACTCACTGTTGATGCATTGTACAGTTATCTCAATTCCAAAAACCCAAGGACAGGTTCTACAATCCAAAAATGGTTTACTTCCACTTTCAGCCATTACTCTATATATGTATGTGTATGTATTATGTGCTGAAATTAAAAACCGTGCCGTGTTCGCATAATATATACCTTCTGATAAGTTTATCCCTTAAATTGTAACACAGGCAAATTTGCCTGCAAAGATTTTTACTAATTTTTTTAATATTTAAATTTTTTTGAATATTAATTTTAGCTATATACTTACTAAATAAAAAATATATTTTAAAATCTATTTTATTAACTTTATTAAGAAATTTTTTTAAAAATATAAAAAAA